TTTTTTTTTTTTTTTTTTTTTTTTTTTTTTTTTTTTTTTTAATATATACTTAGGTCTGTCCAAGCTTTACTCTCTGGAAACATTGAATGTCAGCAAAAATAAATTAGCTGAGGTGAGAAAACAATGTTTGGTACTTGACGATTTAAGAATCAAATACTGTAAAGTGAGTGAAAGCATGAATTTCAACATTATGTAATGACACAAGGGCATTGTGAAGAAAGCCTGTATGTGAGCGTCCATTTGGTCACTGGTCAGAAGATGGTTACATTTTGTATTAGAAAACTGGGAGAAGTAAAAATATGTTGCTGTTATTCCAAGTAGAGAGCATGTTATGCATTATAAAAATCTCCTCCGCTTTGAGTTTCATTCTGTGTGTTATTACATTGTCTTATCTAACACATGGTTACACATCAAACCTAACACAATGTCACACCTAACACAATTGCTTATTGCTGTAATTTCAGGTAGAAAATGTGCAATGTATAGGCAAGCTTCCCTGCCTTGAGAATCTCATCCTCCGTGATAACCCTATCAGGACTGTGGTAGACTACAGAGTGGCTGTACTGGAGCTGTTTGGAGACAGAGCTAAAGAGGTGAATAGCGGAAATTGATTTTGGTTGAATGGTCTTGATTGAATAGTTTAATTTGTTTGCATTGGCTTTTGGCACTATACTTTAAGTTACAAGTGTAGTTAAATCATCATTATTTTGTTAAATTTTAAAAAAAGTTCTGACAGTCCCTGTATGTGAATGAAAGATAAAACGTTACAATTTTCATTTCAGGATAATTCATTACTATGGTGACATTTTTGGAAATATTTAGTTTTGTATATATTATGCAAATATTATTGTTTTTATATAAGATAAGAAAATAACAATCATAAGAAGAAAATAGAATAAGGTAATTATTTTCTTCATTTAGGTTCTACTTGACAAAGAGGCAACAACACAACAAGAACTTGATAAGATAGCAGTAAGACTGGCCTTACAAAAAGCAAAAGATGACAGGGCAAAGAGGCAGAGCACCTCTAGTACAGCAGACACAACTGCTTCTATACCAAATTAACTGTAGTTTCTCCAACATAACAATAGGTGGCGTGACTGCCTACTGCCAAGGTAGCAGATGGCCAAGACAAGAGTATCAAATGTTCAGTACAGAAGCAAATGGCAGATATCACATCTGTGGAGATTGGAGAAGGGAGGAAAATGGCATCTTTTTGCAAGAGTTAAAAGGATGCCAGAATCAGCTACCTCTCAATTACCTGCATGGTATTTGTGATCAGCCTGTCCCGTCCAGGAAAGAGTGATAGTTCACCAATGCTGTAAAATGAACAGATACACCACTGGCCAGTAAAACTGCTGCACAACAGACTGAAGACTAATGTTGAAGGACCCTTGCATTGAGGCCTTGCCTGGAGAATAAGAATATATTGTATGGTATCAACACAAAATATGTGGCAATTTTCCTACATATGATATTAAAGGATATATGTCACCACTTAAATGGCAACTGGGATGTTTATGATCAAAATGTTGAGGAGCGAGGAGATGTTTTGTCATTACAAAAGGACGTGTGACATGTCATGTGAGAGTCGTGTGACATATCATTTGAGCCATGTGACATATTGAGTGATAGTCACTTACTCTAGATATATGTATTTAATTAACTTTCTTACAACCCATCATTGTTGTGGGTAGCTGCTATTATTTGGGCTCTGCTATAGCAATATTTAGCCTTGTATAAGTTACCGAGGCGCATTCAGACATAATGCAATACCAAGACTGGTTTAGGTCCAGATTTTCCCACCAAAAATACGCCAACTGATTAACACCATATTTTGTGCAGGCTAGTGTGGGTCAATTTTTGTTTCTGAATGCACAGGCATCTGTCACGTCTAATAAGCCTCAAAGACAACTAAATGAATGTACTCCTATTCATTTTATTAACAGTATGGTACTCCATTTTTTATATAGAAAAGCTGCATGTGTCCAAAACAGTTACTTTAAGGAGGCAGATAAATGCTTTTATGACAGACTCTACTGACATGGTGAAACTAAAGACTTTAAAGAGAACATTCCATTGGCACTTGAGATTGAACTAAGTCTTTAATAGATATTGTTTCCTTAAAGGGGGCAAGTTTTATTTTGTGTGCTTTATGAAAACTGATGTTCAGAATTCACCAGTCCTCTGTGATAGTTTACACAGTATGTGATAGGATTAATGTGATGTATTTGATTGTTGTTGAAATAGTTTTACAAGCAGGATTTAAGTTGATTTCTCCAAGACCATCATCTTCTTTCCTCAAGAGCGCATTCAGAACCGATGATCCACGGACTAATTGATCCGTCGACTAAATATGGCCGAACCCACCTCAAAGCAAGCCATCTAAATCTCTTGAAGGTCTCTCTGCCTCCACACATGCCATTACGGATTAAATCTCGGCTCTGAGGTTTAATTGTTAGGCCCCTGCAGGGACGGAGGGGCTTTGCGGCATTGCTTTTAAGTGGGTCAGCCATATTTAGTCGACGGTTCAATTAGTCCACAGATTATCTTGTTCTGAATGCGCTCTTAGTGTAAGGAATAAGAATATCTGGATCTGTACACAGACGTGGCTATGTGAAGAATTTAGGGGTTTTAGTAACAGTCAAGCAAGATGCTACAACGATTTTAAATACCTGATAATTTTTCTTTTAGATAAATGTTAGTGATTAGGCAGTTTTTAGCTGATTTACTGTTTTTAGATTGTGCAACTTGATAATATGCAACATTTTGAGTCTTGCATGCCTTGTGAAGATCGTTTCACTGTACACTGTTATCGCTTGAGGCAAAGCATTTTCTACTCTTTTATAAGATATTTTATCAATGTTTTTTGGCACACACTTCACTTTTCTTGAAGTATTGTTTAGAAATGATACAGAGAAACATACTTTTCTCATGGAACTTCATGAACTTGAAGAAATTTTTGCACTGCAGATTAATAAGAAAAGATTTACCCCCATGTTTTTACAAAGAACATGGTATTACTGCAGTCTTTTTGTTGATTTTTAGAGCACGATTAATGCAAGAAAGGAAAAGAATGAAGTTGGGATCTTTTCAAAGGCTCTCATAAAATAACACTGATAAATCCAGTGTTACACACTGAAGAGAATGCATTCTGAAAAGTCTTTGTACGAAAAATTATTGTTATAATATTATGTGAGATTAGAACATATGTCTTGTGAAGGGTTCTTTGTAATTTGTAGTGAAATGTATCTTGTGCTTTTTGTCAAATTTGAAGAGAGGGCAGGACACCCATTTATCCACAAGATTAAGCGCTCCACATTGAATGTTTTGAAACAAAATATTTTATTCTTAGAATATAGATTTAAAATTACATAGTGGCAGTGCCATTGTATGTGTCTGCCTTACAACTATTGTCTTTTTTTTATATGTTTTTGGTAACAGCATAATCAGTGGAAGTGTAAGGTATTAAAAAGTCAATTAAATGTTTAGAGAAGTATGTGGTAGAAAACTGAGGCAACATATTTGTATGTGTGTAGTTTGGGTGGGGGGTTATATGTGCTTGTTGGTCTGAGTCTGTATCCTTAAAATTTGCTGTCCATGTGTTTATTATAAGATATATATATTTTCCCCTTTAAGATAATGAGGTGTAGTTATTTCATGTCCATAAATATGTGAATGCCCTATAAACTTGAAGTGTATATTTTAAGACATAAGGAGTGAATGACAAAATGCTACAGGAAATGGATTTTATGTATATTGATATTTCTCAATGCCGTTAAGCTTCCCTTCATTCATACGAATTGCTGCATCCAAGTCTGTTTTCTAAATCAGTTTTTTAAGAACATGACAGTTTGTCATCTTCATTTCTCGTCATTAAAATTCAGTGTGGATTTTTTGTATGACAAACAAGCCAAATAACTGATCACAGAATTTGTTGATAAGGCAATTCCCCCTATGCCTCTTGTGAAATATGTACAAAGAAAGATAAAAAGTATACATACATTAAATGAGCAGCCTGTTGTAGTGTTTAATTTGAAAAATGCGTTTTAAAAAGCAATAAGATTTTAATTTTTAAAATTACAACTTTTTTATTGAAGCAGTGTTTTACTTTAAATTTTGGGATAGGAATAATTTTACAACTCGGAACTGGTGCGTCCTGATAGTCCAAAGGCACTGCGGGTAGGGTATCTACCTAAACAGCGTACCGACGGCAGATTTCAACAACTTGTCATGGAGTAGCCTGTTGATGTTTATATTTCTATGTAAAATACTTTTTAAAAAGCAAACATATTTTGATAATAATCCCCCCATAACATAAAATGGTTGGGAAATCAGATAATAATATTTGACAAATGAAGGTTTTTTAAGTTTGAAAACAAAATATAATGCACCAATAGCCTATGTAGGCCTACTGAATGATAACAGAGAATAGTGTTCACAAGCATTGATCGATGAGCATCCAAAAGCGCCAACGAGCGTCCGCAGGAATAAAATAAGTGAAAAATCAACGATTAAGCAGATATTTATCAAGCGACGGCACTTGCAACACAAGATCAACAGGACTTGCAGAAGCGATTTTGCAAAGAACTGTAGAGGGGGGAGAAGATGCGGCAGAGAGAACAAGTCGAGTTTCGACGTCGTCTCGACTCTCTGTCACGTCACGCCGGCGTGCACACCCAGTCCACCTAAGTCATATGAGCAGAATTCAGTGAGTAGTTCATTATTTGTTCATCCGAGGAGTAATCTAACAGCTCCCAGGTAGCCCCCTGATTTTGACAAAGTCATGTGAAAGCCATGTGATTTCCACTAGGGTACGTATATAAACGGTTCTTCTTAAAGCACCAGTTTTACAGGAACCCAGTTTCACACAGCAGTTGTGGTGAGGGAAGAAACTCCAATATGAACCGGGCTATGACAATTGTTGTCTATACTTCTGTTCTAACAGTTTGTTTGGGACTGGACTATCCAAGGAACGGTCCCTGCAAAGGTGATTATGATGGGTAAGCAATGGTATATGTTGTCTCGAAGTTTGTCTTCGACGGAAAATATTTATTAATTTTATTTTCATTGGTTGTCTTTTGTTTTGTGGGCCAACACTTATGTCTTAGAGTTACATTACAATAAAAGAAAACGGGACAAAAAGAATTTCTTGCCTTCAACTATCTGTGAAAATTGTTCAAATGATACAAACGTTACCGTTACATACGTGACCAAACAAGAAGGTGAAGGTGTTGTTTTCTGATTCCACTAATTGTTCTCTGTTGTCGCAACTCTGTGGTTGCGTGTGACGTTGTGTATGTGCCACGCTGGTTTTTACACGCTACATGGTAACGCTCATTCTTCTTTGTTACGTAAATATGATACATACGTTACCGATACATACGTTACCATGTAGCGTGTAAATACTTTTATTTATATTGTTTGTTGTCCGTTTTGCAAACAAACGCCTTATTCTTACGGTATACTTCATTACAATAAAAAGGAAAAGCAGTTCAAGTATAGATTACTTGTCTTGAAACCGTTTGTTGAAATTGTTTATATGATAGATATATACGTTACCAAATAACATGAAGGTATTGTTTTATGATTTCATTTTTTGTTCTATGTTGTCGCGACTCTGTGGTTGTATTGTATATGTGGAAGTATATATATATTTTTATGCACCTTGAAAGATCTACATTATAGTTGTTAAATACAATCCGAGCTTTCGGCCCCTGGGCCTTCTTCGGGGATTATGAACAAAAAGTTAAAAAACGTAAAAAAAACCTCCTAGGATACGTGACGAAAGCTCGGATTGTATTTAACAACTATAATGTAGATCTTTCAAGGTGCATCAAAATATATATACTTCTATTTTTATCAAGATCTATACGGTGAATTAACCTCAATCATATTGTATATGTGTGCACGCTTATTACGTCGCTCATTCTTTTTTGTTACGTTAATATGATACATACGTTACCGTTATTACGTCACTCATTCTTCTTTGTTACGTTAAAATGATACACACGTTACCGTTATTACGTCGCTCATTCTTCTTTGTTACGTTAAAATGATACATACGTTACCGATACATACGGAAGGTAACGTATATATATCGGTAACGTATGTATCATATTTACGTAACAAAGAAGAATGAGCGACGTAAAACCATGCGCGGAACGTCGTAGGAACACAGAGAGTCGTGACAAAGGACAACAAACAATGAAATCAAAAAACAACACCTCGTTATTTGGCAAAGTAGATATCGGTAACGTATCTATCATATAAACAATTTCAACGAACGGTTTCAAGACAAGTATTCTATACTTGCCCTGCTTTTTCTTTTTATTGTAATGTAGTATACCATAAGAAAAAGGCGTTTGCTCACAAAACGGACAACAAACAATAAAAATAAAAGTATTTACATAAATATTTATTGATTCTATTTTCATTGGTTGCCTTTCGTTTTGTGGGCCAACACTTATGTCTTTATGTTACATTAAAATAAAAGAAAACGAGACAAATAAGATTTCTTGCCTCCAACTATCTGGGAAAATTGTTCATATGATACATACGTTACCGATACATACATGACCAATTAATATTTAGCTGTTGTTTTCTGATTCCATTGATTGTTCTCTGTTATCACGACTTTGTGAGTGCGTGCGACGTTGTATATGTACGCACACATGTTTTTATGTCGCTCATTCTTATTTGTTGACAAAAAAAAACTATGCAGATAATTGTCTTATTTTTCAGTCCTTACAAAGAGTCGGAGGTAAAAGAATACACTGCAATGGCTAACTGCACCGAGGGTCGCTTTGACTGGAACTTCCCCATGGGTGCAACTTTGTTTCGCATGCAGAGTTCAGTATACGATGACTTTCAGTTCTGTTTTCAAGATTTGTACGGCTCTCAACTGGCCGGGTACTGGAAAATTTACGACGTCACAGGCGAAAAGATTGTCCAGATCGCAAAACCCACTAGGAGAGGTAATATCTTAGTACGAAGAGGCACATTACAGAAAATTGACATAATGTTAAATTGTAATGACCGACTTTTAAATATGTTCAAATCATGAAAGATCTCATTTAGTCTAAAGGTGTGTTTTTATCTCAAGTAAAGGTGAAACTTGTTGCTGTGGTATCTAATCTAGGCCCTATATGCTGTTTCATGAATTAATTGTAAATATGTTGATTTCCCCCTCAATCTTTATGAAAAATATACACAAATATTTTACAGGTCAGGTTGTCTGTCGTCAATCCCAAAATGGCAGAGTTGGCCTTTTTCTGCAATCTACGGAGAAGAAAACATACGCCGCAGCGTTTGCGTACAAACTCGAGAGCAAATGATGATGACATTTCACACGAAGTTGACCCAAATTTGTGCATGGCATTATGATTACTTTTCTCACTTGTAAGCAGCTTCTGAAATAAATTCAAAGTTGTTTCTGTACAGCTTACTCGTCATTTTATTCTCAGAAAACACGTAGGAAGCTCTAACTCTAGGAAGCTTGTTGAAATATTTTGGGAGACGAATCATCAGCGCTAAAACCTGTATGTTAAGTACCGGGGTAGCTTTCCGTAGTTATCTATAATGTGCACTGAGAACTTAACCGTGTTCATTGTGTATCCATGCGTGTTTTCTCGTTAACCATTTTTTACTATTTTTGCGTCTCCTACAGTGATTCACCATATAAATATATAATATTTCAATTCGAAATTATAAGATCTCGCACATGTGTACTGTACAAAAGACACAAAGTTTAAACCTGTGCAAATGAGTAACAAAAGCGGGAAAGCTTAATGAATAATTAAACTAGCGACCATAAAATCCAGAGTGGTTTAACTCCCAAGAGGGAGGTAGGGGAGACCGGGGCTACCTGTAGTTGGCCCGGTTAGACACTTTTGGCCTTGTAGAGCCAACTAGGAATGAGTTAGAGTAACAAAACCGGTTTTAAAGTTAGCCCCATGAACTAAGCTATGTATGCAACGTCATTATTTTTCAAATATAATGCCAGATGGCTCACAATTTGACAAAAAAAGCAGTTGACGTCAGGGGGGCCAACTTGCCCCGCCACGGGGCAAGTTGGCCCCAGGGTCGGGGCAAGTTGGCCCCCCTATACAAAAATGAAGTAAATTTACCATGTAAACGCCTTGAATTACATTTTGATACATTTTTAATTTGATTTTTGAGAGTCTTTGATGAATAAATAGTTCAAATGAGGCAGATTTATTGAGGTTTCCGTACGTCACGTTGTAGGGGGGTCTATGTGTTGCAAGAACCAAAATATCTATCAATAGAATTTGTTTTATTTTAATAAAGAATAAATTAATAATGGTATAAAGCAGGTTTTTAATGAATGAAAACGAATAATAAATTTTCGTTTTAAAAGAAAGTAACAAATTCAGTTTTAAACCATCGAGTTTGTTTTAACAATGGTCTCTAGCTCTGTTGCGCGCAAAGGTTTGTGGGTAATATGATGGTCCAACTTGCCCCGAGTCAAGGGGGCCCAACTAGCCCCGGGTGCACACTTTTTATTTTAAAGGATGGCAGCCATTTATGGTGCTAGAATAAGCAACGATGATACATCTCTGTGAAACTTGAAACAATGAGCTTCAGTTTGATGCCCTATACATATATTATATTTGATCAAAAGCCTATGAAAATAGATTTTTAAATCTCTTAAACAAAATTACTTTTAGGTGCAAAAATCGTTTATTTCGACTCACCGCTTAAGTAAAACTTTTTAACGTCCGACACTTCCTTAGTATTGTAGGCTACGGTCACTTTACAAGAGTATGTGGCCAATTTTTTTTACCTCGTAGTTACTTTTTCATAAATGGACGGGGGGCCAACTTACCCGGAGTCCAACTAGCCCCGGTCTCCCCTACGTTGCGTAAATTGATATATGTGCACGAATTTGCTACATATTTTAACTTTCTTCGACCCAAATGGGTTTTAAAAAAAGCGCAGGTGCTTCTCTCTTTCTCTCTCCCACGCACTCCTTCTGTTTGTACTATTTTGTAAATAATAAAGAAAGCGCTCAAGTATAAAAATTAAATTCAAGTAATAAGAATTTATAACATATAATAGCAGCTTTTTTTTTATCTGTAGTGATATCATCTTTAAATAAAATAAAAATACAGAAATAAAATGAAAAATACAGTGTTCCGGTACCGGGAATCGAACCCGGGCCGTCTGGGTGAAAACCAGAAATCCTAACCACTAGACCATACCGGACTACATGAAAAGGCGAGGTACTTTTAAAAGTAAGTTCTTGACATGATTATAACTATTTAAAACAAAGATAACTAGGGTTAATTAGCATTTTAATTAACAAGTGTATAACGAAATTTTTTAAAAGGTAAACAAATGGTGATTAAAACGTAACAGATTTTAATTCAGAAGTAGCTAGTTTCACGAGCATGCGCAGTTCTTAAACCAAGTTAAGAATGTGTTAGTTGGGACGTGCAGTTGTGACGATTGCGTTTCACTCTTGCAAGATAGGAACACATTTTCTAATATCTAAATTGATGGAAAATTAATTTTTTTAGATAATTTTGTTTAAACTGCTAACTTTCCCCCCTGAATTAATTCTTAACAATATTATTGTTTGTCCACTTAATGTTCTTATCACTGATGCAGAAATAGGGGATATGCAGCTAAAAGCCCCCTTCCCCAAAATAAAATTACTCAACAATAGGCCCAGGCAAGAGTAACTTCCAAGAAACACGTGAAGTAAGATTTGCATTTCGTATTGTGATCTAAATGAATCAATCTTTTTCAATTTAGTATGATAACAACAGATAAATACATACATAAGATTTTTTTCACAATTTTATTACAAGTGTATTGCATTACACATTGTTGCATAATTTACATGGTTGTATACACATAAACAATAAATGAAATAAAAGTATTATACAAAAAGAGGCAATTTATTTGACCTTAAAATAAAGCCAATAGCTGTAACACAATGGTTGGGGGTATTTCTTTCTTATGGCTTTCCATTTTACTAACTTAAAAGTAATAAATTTGTATCTGTTAGCTTTCAACTTTGCACACCATCTTTGTGAATAAAAACATAGCTTATCAACTTCAAATCACTCACATAGTCAAAAACTAGTGCTCACAAAGCTGAGCAAATGGAAAGGAAAATACTGAACTGAACTGTAAACACTGCAGGGATTTTCCACGACCAGCTACAGTGCATACAACTTCCTGTTAGAAAACTATAATATAGTCATTAGAATTGGCAGATATGATGGCACATTTTATTGCTTTTATCTTAAGTCATGTTTTTATCGACAAGTCAATATTGAAAATTGAAAATAAAGCAAATTACAGAAATCTTCAAATGTGTCTTTTAAGTTGGTCAAGTAACCTAGCTCTGCAGTCTCAACAAGTACAAAAACCTACCCCTTGTATATGCATAATAAGTTACGTTGTGTCAAGAATTTCTACAGCTACAATTGTATTATAAGTTGGCTCTTTTTTGACACAACAAATTCCACTTCTTTGTCTTTCATTATTTCATTTGCTTTAATTTTTTTTTAAATAATTAAACAATTTCTGATCATTATGAAACATGAGATGTTCTTTGCACTATACACAGTCCAAATATTAATCAAAACTTAAGCCACAAAACAACAAGAATTCCCCAAACAAAACAATAACCATTTGGGCTAGAAATTAAGAGACTATGCAATGCTGACTTTTATTTCTATTCTTATGTCTTTTACCACTACCACTTTTACTACTTCCATTTGGCAAAGTGTTGGATTTCATAGAGGATGCCTTCATGGCTTTATCACTGTCATCAACATATGTGAGGCGGGCACCTGGGCGCCTCACTGGTCTGTAATAAAAGTCATCATCCTCTGAATCGCTGGAACTTGAACATGTGCTGCACTCGTCTCCAGACTGAACACGAAGAAACTTATCCACCACAGCATTTTCTAAAGCAACGTCAGAGGAAGTCTTATTCAGCTGTGAGGACGACTGCGATGTATTGTGTGCATCAACACTAGCGCCCCCTTCGGTTTCAGATCCAGATTGAAGATTTTGCGAAGGGGAGGAAGTAAAGCTCCTGCTTCGCTGACTCACGGAGGCATGGATGACTGGTTTTTCTTTGGGTCGTGATATGGGGTTCATCTGGTCATTCCCAGAGCTTGCCATGGCATAGTACCTATTCACTCGGTCTATGTAACGCTCAGTCCTTGTATAAGGTACTCTGCTGCTCTGATTGGTGAACTGAGGCGGNGAGGCAATTCATTTGACCTTAAAATAAAGCCAATAGCTGTAACACAATGGTTGGGGGTATTTCTTTCTTATGGCTTTCCATTTTACTAACTTAAAAGTAATAAATTTGTATCTGTTAGCTTTCAACTTTGCACACCATCTTTGTGAATAAAAACATAGCTTATCAACTTCAAATCACTCACATAGTCAAACACTAGTGCTCACAAAGCTGAGCAAATGGAAAGGAAAATACTGAACTGAACTGTAAACACTGCAGGGATTTTCCACGACCAGCTACAGTGCATACAACTTCCTGTTAGAAAACTATAATATAGTCATTAGAATTGGCAGATATGATGGCACATTTTATTGCTTTTTATCTTAAGTCATGTTTTTATCGACAAGTCAATATTGAAAATTGAAAATAAAGCAAATAACAGAAATCTTCAAATGTGTCTTTTAAGTTGGTCAAGTAACCTAGCTCTGCAGTCTCAACAAGTACAAAAACCTATATGCATAATAAGTTACGTTGTGTCAAGAACTTCTACAGCTACAATTGTATTATAAGTTGGCTCTTTTTTGACACAACAAATTCCACTTCTTTGTCTTTCATTATTTCATTTGCTTTAATTTTTTTGAATAATTAAACAATTTCTGATCATTAGGAAACATGAGATGTTCTTTGCACTATACACAGTTCAAATATTAATCAAAACTTAAGCCACAAAACAACAAGAATTCCCCAAACAAAACAATAACCATTTGGGCTAGAAATTAAGAGACTATGCAATGCTGACTTTTATTTCTATTCTTATGTCTTTTACCACTACCACTTTTACTACTTCCATTTGGCAAAGTGTTGGATTTCATAGAGGATGCCTTCATGGCTTTATCACTGTCATCAACATATGTGAGGCGGGCACCTGGGCGCCTCACTGGTCTGTAATAAAAGTCATCATCCTCTGAATCGCTGGAACTTGAACATGTGCTGCACTCGTCTCCAGACTGAACACGAAGAAACTTATCCACCACAGCATTTTCTAAAGCAACGTCAGAGGAAGTCTTATTCAGCTGTGAGGACGACTGCGATGTATTGTGTGCATCAACACTAGCGCCCCCTTCGGTTTCAGATCCAGATTGAAGATTTTGCGAAGGGGAGGAAGTAAAGCTCCTGCTTCGCTGACTCACGGAGGCATGGATGACTGGTTTTTCTTTGGGTCGTGATATGGGGTTCATCTGGTCATTCCCAGAGCTTGCCATGGCATAGTACCTATTCACTCGGTCTATGTAACGCTCAGTCCTTGTATAAGGTACTCTGCTGCTCTGATTGGTGAACTGAGGCGGAAGGGGTTGTAGGTGGGGTGGAAGAGGGGGGCGGGAATGGGACTGTGAAGAACGTGGATGGACCATGGGTCGTCCCAATGGGATCGGATTGACCTGTGAGTCTCCCTGTTGAGGCCTCGCTTGCAGTCTTTGACTGTTTAAGTTTGCTAAATCTCCTTGAGTGCCATTCTCTGACCTACTTCTTACATTAAGTTCTGTAGGCCTACTGGCTGCATTTGAGGGTCTAGTTCTCACTGTCAAGTCTCCATTTGGTGTGTGATATGTATGGGCCTGAGGAGAGTTTGGATACATGTATGATCCATTTGGGACTCGGGGAGGCAACTGTGAACTATTGGGGTTCACCACTGGCACCGCAGTCTGTGGCAGGAGCTGTTTTGGCCGTGTGTCCTGATCCGAGGTATTACTTATTAAACTATCAAAACTAGTGTCCCTGAGATCTATAGGGTTTCGACTCCGCCCCTTTTGGTGCTTGATATCAGGGGCCAATCGAGTCTGTGTTTTGTACACCTGAAGGTTGGCATACTCGCAGTCTGATTGGCTGCTGTTTCCTCCTCGATCTCTGCGACTGCAGTCTGAGGAACAGTAAATAACGCCGTGTTTGGGTAAGAAAGGTTTACCCAACAGTGGAGAGTTACAGGTGAAACACTTAAAGCAGCGGTCAGTGGCATGCCAGTGCTGACCATCATGAGTCATTTGTCCCTGGTCTACAGCAATGTGGTCGCCGCATGTGTCACAATACTCTGCAAACATCCTTTCGAAACATGTGCAGCAATATGGCCGCCCTTCGCGCATTATATAGCGCTGTCCGCCCAACTGCTGGTCGCATTCAAAGCAGCAGAAATGCTTCATGTGCCAGCTTCTTCCCTCTGCCTCTGTGCACTCGTCTGCAAATATTATCTGGAATGAAAAAATAAACAAGTTCAGAAGATTTAAATAACACATGTGAAGAATGAACCTCAACAGTTCCCAAAACATACACTGAAATAATGTGATAAATGACAAATTTGCAAAGACTAAAGGGCATACCTTTCCATTCCATATTCTCAAAAAGCCATCTGGCAAATTTTCTGCATGTAAAAAACTACTAGTACTGACTTTTCATTAAATGTCTTTTTAAACAAAAGAAATCCATCATGCATGGTAATTTTAAAAACAAAACATCTTGCCAACAAGTTCAATTTCCAGAAAATTTCAATGCATGACTAATATATACACGTCAATTTGAGAAATATCTTTTTTTAACATCATAAAATATATTTTATTGCAATATCTTCACCATCTTTGCTGTAGATTTGAAGCAACTTCTTTGGACTGTTACAAGCATGCAAACACTGCAAATTAGCCCCCAGATCCCATGCATAATAGATGAAGCATATTGTGAGCAGTTGGGGCCTGAATAATTGATGGAGGCCTAATTGCATCACTCTACAACAATGGAGAATTAGACTGATCTGTGTTCACACCAAACATGATTTATGGGACTCGGTTAGCATATCCTTCAGGTCTTGTCATTTCATTTTGATCTATTTTTGAATGCTAAAATGTCACTCCTTTTTACAGTCTTGCAAACAGAGATATCATTTAACAATTTCAAGATAGGGGATCACAGTGAAATTTGATAAAAATTTTGAAGCAGATCAATACATGGTTGGTACTTTTTTAATGCAACTTAATGCAACGTGTGAGAAATATACACCTTATATTTCATTTTCTTTTTCTTTATATTGTTCTTCAAAATAATTCATAGTAGAAATGACATCCACTAATGGGCACAAGTTTAGTAATGGCCTTATTAAAATGGTTTTTTTTCTTTGTCATTTACAAAAGAATTTCCTGCTCATATACTATAAATACAGCCTAAACAATCAATGCTATCATGTGCAACATAAAATATTATCCATGCCCCGATGTAATTTGTTTTAAGCCAAAATAATGATATCCTATTCCAGAACTCCAGCATACTTCTGTTTCCTCTCTTTTAAATTTGGCATGCGACTGGTTTTAAATAATGACAAGCCAGAATTACGTGAATGTTAAACAGTACGTCTGACAGCTGAACATAACGCAGAGCAACCTCAGGCAGTTCAAAGTCATTTTTTAAAGTAAATAATTAGGTCTCTTGATTTAAAGTTGCACAACCGACAACATACATTTGCATAGATGTGTTTGACTTATGACCTTGGCATTAAAAATGCTAACAAACTATAACACAGTTTGCCTCATATATGTAAACATTCACACTAAATCAACATTTACCTTTCATTCTCTTTTGAGTTCTGTCAAAAACAAGTAAAAAAAATCTTACCCCTGGATAAAGGGACATTTTTTATAACTTCAGAAAAACATAAACATGTTATACATTTCCAAAGGACTCTCTTGTAAAATGAAGTAGCAGTCCTTTTAGAAAAAAGCTTTCCATCAACCTAAACCTAATTCATCACCTTACCCACCTCGTCACAAGCAGCACAGCGCGGCTTGAGATTCTCCGCGTGATGTCTGCCGCAGTACACGTGCGAGTCCTTGTAGAAGTAGATCAAGTCGACCAGGAGCTCCTTGCACGTGAAGCAGATGAAACAGGCTGGGTGCCAGCAGTTACTGTGGCCAGCTCTGGAGGCAAATACTGCAATATCTCCACCCTTGATGGTCTCCTTACACTTGAAAGAAAGAAAGACGGGATTAGATGTCTGTTTACATATAGTAAATAAGAAATGTTCTTTTTTCTTCATGATTTGACTATATTGCTCTCTCTCTCTCTCTCTCTCTCTCTCTCTGCATCACACACATGCGTGAGGGCATGCGCACATTTCCTATCAATAACAGTACCAATACCAAAACTGCCACACCTTCAATCTTCTCCTAACCTGAGTGACAGTGATAAACCGCACTCATTCACACACAGACATCATCACTGACAGAGTCTCTCTCTGTCTAGAACTAGTTCTGAAACTACTGCACTTTACCTGCTGTGATTGCTCTCAAATCACAAAATCGTCGTCACATTTCACACCTTAAAACTGAAGCCAGAAGTTACAGAATATGAAACATTCTATGCTACATAGTTAAATACCTTATTCAAACAAATAACGTAACACCTTGCTAATTCCTGCTCGGAAAGAGTAACTGTAAAAAGTTACAGGAATCAACATAACCTACAAAGCTCACTTCATTCAGTGCAACACACGTCAAAGTGCAGCCTTCAGAAATTTGAGCTGCCCTGCTTGGATAAGTTTCTAAAGACCCAAAGTTACGTTATTTTCTAGTTTTATGAAACAATCAGTCGGCTGATCCTGGGGCCCCATTATTAAACAGAAAATAAACAAACAAATCAGACCCCAATCTTTAAAGAAAGAATGGTACGCTTCAGAAGAAAATTATTCAAGTGAACAGGGGGTAAACTTCAATCATGATTTGACTATATTACTGCCCTCGGTCTCATTCACAGACCTGGATCACTCAGCCTAGCTCTTTAAACAGGTAGATTTTATTAAGAGAGGAAGAAAGAAGTTTTACAAAATACATTCAATGTAACATTTATTGACTCCAAATGTTTATTGTCAGATGTTTTGTCCAACACTTCATTTGTAGTACAATTCTGTAAGCAAGCAACCATTTTATGGCAGGCGACCTCATAAACTTCTAATCGGTTAAAAAGCCCGCACACTTCCAAGACTTCTGAGCATTTCTTTTTATGGCAAAGCTCAAGAATACCAATTTTAGACCAAATAGTTTTATGACGTTTAACAACACATGTTGCCTTAATCACTTCCATATTGTATGTCACTCTAGTCAATAGTAAATCTTATGCATTTAAATTACATGGTCACATTCTGTGATTACCAAAAGCAGTAAAATGCTTCAAATAACTTGACAAAGATTGAATTGTACAGGAACGGAAAAGAGCAAATGTAGTTTTTAGTGGGGGTCAGGTTTGGATGACCTAGTTGTCGTAAAAAAGAGATAAATCCATGCCCCACTGACAATCTCTCTCTTTTTCCTTCTCTATTTCAGATCTAATTTCAGGTAAGTGAAAAACTGTGCTGTTTTTTTCCACACATGACTAACATATTGCACTCTAAGGTTATCCAGTTTTTACGTTCACATTTTATAACGTGGCAACAATATTTTCCGAGCTCTGCCTTCCTCATGTTGCATGTGGATGTTTTTTATTCAATATGCTGTGTCTTTTTTTTTTTGTTTTTTTTGCTCTTTTTGATAATCTAGACACTTGGATACGCTTTGTCCTAGATTTATTACCTCCTAAAAAAGAAGCTTTAAGTGCCGAGACCTGCTGAGAAATAGGCAGGTGAGATGAGGTTGAGAATATCAAATGTAGGGATACCACCTGTACTGTAGCGCATCCTCAACTTTTTTTAATGAAGGGAGAGACGTACAGGGGAAAATAAATAGCGCTTGCATTTCTTGCTTGCAATGCTGACAATATATGTTAAGGGAAGTCTCCCCACTCACACACGCATGCTCACGTGCACACAAAACAAAGGTAGTGTCATCCCTGCCCTCCAATTCTTTTGGGTTCAAATCTGAGATTTTTTGTGAAAATGCTTTGTTAACATACCTCATAACAGGACGTCCCCTGCATTGTGAGAGGTAGAGGACGCACACTTCCTCTTCCCAGCGCCTCTCTCTTCCTCTGGGTACTGAAGAGGCGCAGCTCCTTCCTCTCCTCCTCGCTGAGAGAATTACAGTAGCGTATTTCATTGTCGTGAGGGGGAAGCTGCTGCAGAAGTTGCTTTATTCTGTATTTTTCTCCAACACTGTTCAAATATGGTACTCTGTCTTCAGGAAGGGCGCTCATATATTGGTGAACCTACAAAGAGTAAGATTGCATTTTTGATGCCAATTCTACGAGATCACTCAATTATATATACAACGCATTGCTGTTTTAAAAGTTGGAAAAATGCTGATATTGCCTCTGGTTGAACAATCCTACACGGTGATTTTAGACATTTTTCTACATAAAGCTTTAAATTATACTTATGAATGAAGAGGAAAAGAGACAAAACAGTTTATCGCAAAATTGTGAAAATGAATAATTAATCAAGGTTAGAACTACAATCTCAATATTTTAGTATTTAGCTATGGGGTAAATACCTGTCAAGTATGTTTACACATATTACAAGTATGTACCTTATAATCCAACTTTGTTGTGGCCCATTAACTGACATATTGCACAACAGAGGAACTCTTTAATCCTTTAACCCAAGTTACTTATCACTAATTACCTGTACTTCCAGCTCAGTTCGACCTAGTTGACTAATCACATGTCAGTCATAATTCCACTCTAGTGTATAAGCATTGTTATTCAGATCAATTGAGAACAGGGAAAATTCCACATTATAATTTTTCTGAGATGGAGGGGGGGGGGGGGGCTGTATCACTAACTAGGGTACTTTTTGGAGAAATAAATGAAAGGACACAAGAGTGGAATTCCAATTTGGAGCCATTGTAGAAATTCTAGATGTTGTAATAAGGTTAAAATTTCACCACAAACTTGTAGCAAAGCTGCTTTTTTCAAGTGTGTGTGTGTGTGTGTGTGTGTGTGAGAGAGAGAGAAAGAGAGAGAGAAAGAAAGAAAGAGGGGGGAGAAAGAGAGAGCATCTATAAAGCAACCACAAGAGCGATAAAAAACTGATGAACATGGCGACAACAGTAGACAGATGTGAAAAGTGAGCAGCCTACACCACATCCATCTTTCCTTTAATTACAAAGTTCAATTGANTGTGTGTGTGTGTGTGTGTGTGTGGTGAGAGAGAGAGAAAGAGAGAGAGAAAGAAAGAAAGAGGGGGGAGAAAGAGAGAGCATCTATAAAGCAACCACAAGAGCGATAAAAAACTGATGAACATGGCGACAACAGTAGACAGATGTGAAAAGTGAGCAGCCTACACCACATCCATCTTTCCTTTAATTACAAAGTTCAATTGACGGTGAAATATCACTGTTGGCAGACCATATGGTGAATGTGACTAACAATGTAAGTCAATTTGCAGTGACTGGCAACTACAGAGTAAGTATAGATAACATGCCATAATTTATTGTGCTGCGAGGGTTAGTTACTATAAGTTAACCACAACCATTTAGTACAACAATGTAGCATCTTTCACAACTAAATTCCTAAGTTGAGGTGAAACCACTTTTTGTATATCAAATTCAACTGAGGTTGTTAATTCAATTTGAGTACAATGGAAAAAAACAGAAAAAAAAATATACATATGGGCAGGAAAAATAACATGCAGAGAAATGACGTAACGCTCTAAATATTTATCCCCTTAAACATTTTCTTTCTACCTCTGGCAGAAAACAAGTGGAGTAATGGCGTTATACTCCAAACACGTTAACCCCGTAACCGTCTCTATGTATCTTGACATGTGTAGGCTAACAATTTGCTATACACAGGTAGCAAATCCATGACTAAACACGGAAATCAACAATAAATCCTTAATGATCTTATTACTAACTGGGCCCAACAAAAAAAGAAACCATTAGTCACAATTCGGAACTATTTTTTGAAACAACACCGCACTCACAGCTTCAATTCATACAGTAACATAGCTGGGCCAGGTAAGATAAACTCTGCACGCTCCCCCTTTGTAAGGGGCCACCAGGTGTGCTACTTTATATCCGCCACCTTCAGGAATGTGCACAGAAAGTGAGTGTCAAACAAAATATGGCAATATTTGGATTTTTTTCCAGAAGGTCTGTTTGTAAGGGCAAGTCAGTGTGTTGACGCAGGGGTATGACACCAATATGACACCATGCCAATCACCTCCAACGTGACCCCATACCAAGCACAGTCGAGTACACTACTAACACTCTACTGTGCCCCCCTTTTACACTGAATTTTTTGCATACTTCGACTCAGAATTCATGGTTAATTTATCAGGGTACAAGACGTAATTTTTTTTCATAAAATGCTCTCAGACCAATAATGCAATGTAAACTTCATGTTGGCAGCTATCTGAATTTAGCAATTTAACCCCAAGCCAACTTATTAGAATTTATGTGAAAGATATACTGGCGATTGGAAGTTGGTCTTTGTAATGAATCTGAATTTTTTGGCCTATTTTATTAACTTAATCTCTATCAAGTCTGGTATGGAAAGGTAAATGCTAAGTTACATAAAACATTGAAATTTGGAATATTATAGGGCATAGTTGAAATGAACTGTTCGTTGACAAGTGCTTTAAACTACACCACAATGTATTACATGTGCTTTTCTATTAGTGTGAAAGACTTCATATTTCTCATAAAAAACTCTTGAACAATATCACAATGTCTACTTTACTCTGCACACAACATACAGTATATAAAAAAATACAGAACACACAAGTTTCTCTGTTTTTGGATAAGGATGAAACTCTTGTGAGACAGCCCCAGTACATCTGCCTTACATCTTCCAGCTGTAGAAAAGAATACATTATGTATCCCGTAACAAATCTCACAACACATCCATCAAGCAGAACCGTGGGCCACCCACCACATGAGAAAGATACCAAAAAGATACCATTGTGCAACTCCTATCAAACAATCAACTTCTGTGTATTGCCATCTGGCATACTGAGAGCAGCAAAATTCATGCTGTTTTTTTTTTCATGGCTTGACCAGCAAGAACAGGTTCCATGATTCTGCCGTAGAACTCATCTTTTCATGAGTGAGAGCAATATGTAATTGAATCTAATATTGAATCTTATTACAAAAAGAAATACTTTGAATAGTGTCTGACATATTAAATAATTAGTATCAAAATATTTGAAATACACCCCTAGTGTATCACATTATTGCCTTATTCCAAGAACCAGCATTTCAGGCATAATTTATAATTGGTCATAAGATTATACAAGCTTTACATAGGATCTTTCAAATTTTTCACCTCATAAATTCACAAATGAGGTCCAAGCTTCCAAGAAGGCCACTTTCACCAAGGTGATTTATAACCAAGAAAGCTGACATCTGTTCTTTACAGAGGTTATCACTCCAAGAAAGGTACAGGTCACACTTTCCATGTCTGTCAGCTTTCAGTGGCTACTTATCCCATGATTTATTGCTCTCTGACTCTTTTTGATTTGTACTGGTGAAACAGACAAATCTTCTAAAATGAGGTGCTCCATCTAATATGATTAATTGTTTTCAACTATTTTGCAATGACATAAATGACATAGAACCTTTAAATGATTCCACTCTGTCCACATAATTTAGAGTCAGCCTCAAGTGACATACTCAGAAACAAAGTTATTTTATTGCCCTTCAAAAGCTTTCTTCTACAAAATTTACAGTAAAAATCCTAAGCTATCTTATGTATGATTTATTGTGTTCAGCTTCAAGTATCAGCTCATCCATGACCTCCCCCACTTCCAGGTTAATTACCTCTGATGATGGATGTCATGACAAGCTACATTACAGGACAGTTCAGACAAGGATCACTGCAAACTGAAAATCTGAAATAACTTGGGTCTTTATCTTAACAGGATGTGTTCACACAAACCAGTAGTTATGTCATCCTTCTGTTCCAAAATCACTAAACTTTTTGTTTTATAAATGTCAGATGCAGTAGGAGTTACTATGTAATCTAGTCAACTGTTGGCAACAATAAGCCAGTTTCAGTCTAAGTTTGTGCTGATGTGAATGCGCCTTGATACACCTGCATCCTTCTACTAAGGTTAAGTTTTATGAGGTCAGTCATGAACCATAAATTCTACATTAATCCACTTCCCACTTAGCACTTCTAAGTTGAAGTTAACTGGATGGGTTGGATCATATAAGATCACCCTCGCATTTAAAAGAGCACTATGCCTTTTTTTTACCCAGCATACAGTTTTAGTCACACGAACATATTCTGGTTCTGGAAGTTTTGAACAGACTGAAACTCATGGTGCATAATTAAGTTAATCATATCTTATTTCAAGTATTATTATTTTTCACTGGACTATATATTTTAAAGCCTTCACCTGTATCATGACTGTAAATTGCTTCTTGTTTTTGGTGTGTTTCTACTTATCATTGGAATAGTACTTGAGAAATGTTCATACAAGGGCACCAACTTGATTATACTGAACCTGAGTGAATATGATCAGCTGGTTTTTTTTTACTTTGGTAAATGTTATTACAAACCAAATCTGGAGATAACATATTTTATAACCAATATAATGTTAAGTAATAAGTTTGCCCATAAGTTAGCAAATGGTCACACTGGCAGGTATTCCATTTTTTTCAACACCGGCCCCAATATCAAAACAATTCCAGATAAATTGATTTTAAACTGTATAGTTGCTATATACTCCCCTTCACTGCTTTCAGTTAATTTCCTTTCAAAATCAAATCCATCATTCTTAGCTGGCATAGCCTGAATAAATCCCTTCTGCTCAGGAATTCTCTCACACCCTAAATTTAGAAAATATCTTCAAAAGAACTGCATACTATGAGTTAAAGGCCTCTTTACAATTCTCTGATAGGAGACAGAATTGTCCTCAAAGGGGGAGATAAATTAGGCCTGTGAGCTTAATTCATTCTGACCTATGCACCATCAAGTTACCTTAGGTGGTCTGCAATAAAGACTCCACAAAAGGCATGTTCAGACCAACAATTTAAAATGGCTGGTAGTAAAAGGTCACTGGATGACCAGATGAATTGAGCATTAGGAGATACGTGCAGGCTGAACCCCCCCCTCCCCCCCCCCAAAAAAAAAAAAAAAAAAAAGTACATAGGTTGCAAAGCAACTGGTTTATTAAGATTCCTTATGCTGTACCTTTAACAATAAAAAATAAATGATGAATTTAAAAACCAGCAGAATAACAATTATTCCATAATACAAGAAAGAGTACAAAAATTGATCTGAAGAAGTAACTGTTAACCCAAGTACACATGTTCAGTTTGAAGTAACTGAAATATTTTTATAAGGCAGATTCTATTTCTTGAGAACACAACACACAAGGGTGACAGAGCATTTTTTCAGTCACATATCTATTTTTTTACAGTACCATACAACTGAACTGACAGAAATACTAAATTCAATAACTTTTTCTAAAACCAAAATTGAAGGATCTCAAGAATAAGGTAATTTTTTTAAACCAAGGATTAGGTTGAGAAAAGTTAATATCCATATGACCTGTCTGAACATCGCCTGACCAAATATAGATCGTTTTTTTTTTAATTGGTTTCTTTTTTTTTTAGCTCAGTGGGGCACTTGTTACTGTCTGCTGCTTACATTAAGAATAGATGAACTAATGGCATCTCCCAGCTGCTACTGTTACAGTGGCTATCTCACTGACCATCAAGAAGAATCACTTCACAAATTAGCCCAAGAGCCCTCCAGGTGCTTCTTTCCTGTTTTCTTCCTACTCCCGTGGTCATTTTCAATTAGCTGACCCATCACACAAGATCACTATCACTACTTCTCCCTATTAGCCGACACACATTCTACAAGAAGGTTAAAACACCACGAGAGGTGTGGCAACAACTAGGTTGTCCGATGACAAACTTAAAATATTTGTCTTTCCTTTAGTAAAGGTTACATTTCTCTTTTAATCACTGGATATAATACACATGTGACAGACTTCAAATTAACCCTCCTTTCCAACATCTTTCTGCTCCAATGAGCCATCAGTTCCATATCAAATAAATCTGTTTAACCTTATCACACATATCCTTGTGTCTGTGAAGTAAAAAGACTGAGCAGAACCCTCTTGTGTTGAAGTCTGCTGTGCTGCCACGGTAACCATGCAGACTGATAAATTTTTTTTAAAAGTTCCCCTAGGGGGAGCCATGTTGGTAGGTTCTGTTGTTGTCTGGTATCTCCACCTGGAAATGTCTGGTATGTAGAGAGAGGGTTTGGACTGACAGACACACCAGACAGCACTGTGTGAAAACATGTGTACACCAGACTAGGTACATTAAACAAATCTGGCAGACGCCTCCACCCTCAAGATTTAGCCATGTTGCATGTCTATACTGTTTCTTATCAACCACCCCTCACCCACCATCCCTCCACAATTTTGGTGCAATTTTTTTCTGCTTTGTATAGGACACTTTGCAATCTATCTTTTTACTCAGCACTGTCTTATACCATCTTTGTACTGATAAATAAATCAGGGGAGGGGGGGAGTAGGCTGGGAGGAGCACTAAGAGAGGAACACACCATTGATGTGATAACCCATTCCTTCCTCCCCCACTACCCACCCACCCAAACATAGGAGGCCATGTTCCTCTGCCTTGTCTGTGTGCTAAGTAATTATTTTGCACCTGGCAATGTCTGGTATGTAGGCCTGAAGGTGCAGACGCCAGGACCTCCCCATCCTTCTTGTAACACACATCTCTGAGTGCAGACTCTTTACTTACTAATTAACAACAACCAAAACATACTGGCGTGTAAGGTGGAGGGTTGGTGAAAGGTGATGCCTTTTTTATAAATGTCAAATAATGAATTCTTCTAGGAGTTGCAAGAATATGCTTATTTTAACAGTGCAAAAGAGAGAGAGAGAGAGAGAGAGAGAGAGAGAGTTAAATTTTGCCCTGTATGTCCAAGGCTATGTTCTAACATATATTCCAAGGAACTAATTTTCTAAGCTTTTCTCTTTTTTACTATTCATTGTTGATATATATTCCTCAGGCTAACTTTAACTTAATTACGTATACAAGAGTGAATCAATGTACCTATGGGGGATATCCTTGTTAACACACAATGGAGTGCTGGCATTGAGATTTCAAAAGCACAATATTGTTTGACAAGAAGATAAACATTTAAAAAGAAGGTGAAAACCATTTTCTTTTTCAGTGTCATGCTCTCCTGAAATAGGAGCAAAGATCACACCAAAAAAGAAAGAGAGAAATGGAAAGTTTCACTGTAACAATGGTAATGTAATATATTGCCGTTCACTGATGTCAGACATTTAATGCATCATCATCTTCATCATAGTCATCATCATGTCACGCAAACTGCCAGACATTGTGAAGGACAGTGTATGCCTTTGGCTGTGTGGTTAAGTGCTGTGAACCATACTGCACCAGAATATAAAGCATCTTGAAGGTATAAACATGAGATGTAAATACAAGGAAATAATTTCAGAACCTGGTTCAAAATCTTTACATCACCAGGCTATCTAGAAGGATCTACCCGACTTGTAAAAAAAACCTACGCATACTAGTAAGAATGCTAGTTTCTGCTATACTGCAAATAACCAAAGGGCACCTTGAATTAAACCCTGAATCTCATAGTTCCAATGTTGACGCCTCCATATATCACAATTTTCTAGCTATCATCTTACAACCACTGAGTTTCAGGGTCCTGATAATTATGATGTTGATGATGACTCCCTTACCTAATAATCCTGCAGTGAGTTACTTAGGAAAGTTTCTGAATTCACTAATTTAGATCCAGAATCTCAGGCTATTTGACGGAGACATTAACATTTAGTCTCCATTCTGATTCTGTTACTCGGGGTACCCAGAGATGACACCACACAAGTACCTGCTGGTTGAAATATCACCTTATTTGTGTCTATATCATTTTCTGTCTCTCTCACACACACCTTACCTGAAGCCCAGTGGGACACAAACGCAAATCATCAGATTAAAGAAATCTAGATTCCATATATACATAACCCTGCTGGTTGACATATCGTACCATTTTACAATACATCGTTTCCACCTCCAGTTACCAGTTTTGTGTCAGTTATAGCGGATTTGAACACATAAAATTATTCCCTTTTGTAGGTTGGAAATTCCATTTTTCTGCCTGCTTTACCTGTCTGATCTCATGCAATAAAACATGTCATATTTAACTTTATGGTTTAACTCTAAAAATACCAAAGGTTAGATATAACATATTCAAGTACCGTATATTATTACCCAATAAGATATAAACCCTTAGAAGTATCCATGTTTTGCACTATTTGCCATTTACACCAGACAAGACCATGTTTTAATGTTCTACTTGAGCCATTCCTCACCTTGTTCAACCCCTTTATTAAAGCCTTAAATAATTTGGTTTAAAAAAATCTACATACCAAAAAGTCAGCATTAGGCCTATATTTATGCCCTGGTTAACCAATTTAAGCCCTCAATTTATGCCTTATTTCATCTGGTTTACGCCCTTTATTTATGTACAACCTGTTCTGGTTAAAATTTCATACTAATGCTATCGTTCAATCCCTAAATTTATACCACAAGTACCTAACCTAGGTTTAAATATTAACATGCTCTTACCTGATCTTGTGTTAGATCCTCTTTTTATGATCTAGTTGGTCCGATTTAAGCTCTCAATCTAAACTTTACTTCATCTATTTAAAATGTAGATATATGCCCTAATTTATCTTGTTTTAAAGAATAATAAACTCTTACCTAATCTGGTTTAAATCCTCTATTTATGCCCTAGGTAGTCTGATTTAATCCCAAAACTCTCAACCTATCTCACCTGATCTGGTTTAAGACCTGGTGGGACCCAGGTATACTCCTCCAGAGCACATCCACTGTCATCATCAGACGCAGAGTTCCGCTGGAAGTCCTGGATCAGCTTGCTGAGATTTTTCTCTTGGTCCGAGGTGACAATTTCATGTGATTCTCTTGGACATTTGCAATTTCTGCAAATTTTTCTGAAAAAAAATTAATACATTTTTAAATCAGTGCACTGTGTTTAGTTTCACTGTAGAATTGTAGTGCCTTAAAAATGAAAAATTGAATTGTTACACACAATTTTTCAAAGGACTCTTCAAAAAAAAAACTTTTTCTGAATGAACAATTTGTTGAAGCATTTTGCACAACACCAAAAATAAAAAAAAGAATAATTTAATGCTGAAATTTACAGACTCCATAAAACTAAAACATTAATCATAAATAACAAACATAATCAACTGTGCACAATACCACTTTTCCTCACTATTAACTACTGCCCTCTTTATTTCACTTAATCTTCCCCTAAATCCATAAGTGCCACAATGAATATTGTGACACCTATCACTCACAAAATCCAGCAATCATTCACTCATCTATAATTAATTAATCAATTAATGCATATTCAATCTGCTACTACTACTACTGAAGGTAATCAATAACTATATATGCACTGGTATTACTTGTAATCAATAGTTTGCCAATTATTTTATTATTTCAGCTGATGATGGATCTAGGCAATAGCGGATAATAACTATAGGGATTAAGCAGAAAGTCGATGTGGCATTCTTTAGTGCAATTTTAAAATAGGACCTAATGCCTCACTTTCTGGACAATCACTAGAAGTTTGAACAAGCTCAATAACATTTAGAGATGCCCACCTTCTACTGATGAAGTGAAAAACAGGTATTTTGCCTGAAGTCAAATGCTAAATTTTAGACAGAAAAGAGCGAACTTTCATTTCTCTCTACCCCCCTTACACACCCCTCAAACAAAAAACCTGACACAGTATCCACATTTTTTCTTTCTTTCTGGTCAAAATCTAAGCTTCAATGAATTTCCATTCTTTAACATGGACAAAATAGAGTAATGTCTTTGTATTCAGCATATTCATACAGTAGCAACAGCAACTGATGAGGGATAAGGTTGTCAACCTGGTCAGCCGCAGGACTTTGTCATTGGTCAGCAGGACAGGTTTAAATGATGACCAACAGGTGACCAGGTCGGGAACCCTACCACTGCATGGTCAAGCAAGGTAATCTATGTCATAATTCATGCTACTCTGACCTCATGCCATACTACAGCACCCTGAGCTTCAGAGCTAACTTGACACTAACCTTTTCACTGTAGCCTATCTCCATCGTGTCAAGTAACCTCTAACCAGATTCGTTTCCCCCCCCCGCCCGCCNTAGCTCTGAAGCTCAGGGTGTACTACAGTTAATGAAGGAAGAACTACCCTCAAGTGTTTTTTAATGATCCCTTTTCTGACACAATCAAATGCAGTATATGTAACTTTATTTTAAATTGTCATTTTGACTATTATTCAAGTTTTACCACACAGAAATGAATATTAATTTATCATATACTTTTCTTAAATTATTTGCTTTCTTCTTCCCTTATTTTCTTATTTTTATAAGTCTACAAAATATATAATACAAATATGTTACAAAATTTTAATAAAAAGGGGGTTGGGGGAAACAAGTGACCAACAGGTCCACAGCATCAACTTCCATCTTGTTGGTCAGTGCCAAGTTGTCCAGACAACTTCTTTGACCAGTGGATCGCCTCCTTGCTTCTATTACTCCTTATCAAAACATACTTTTGTGGCAACAAATTCACTGGAAATAAGATACAAAGGCCAAGGCAGGGCTACTTTGATTTCAAATGTTGACACAAACTTCTAAGTTTACTCGATGATCAATAACTATCCAGCTTACAATAGCAGAGGCCATGCGCCGGTTATGTGGGGTTATGTCACTGCGAAACTTGCCCGATGGCAGACGCAAAAAAAAAAGTGGTCTTCGTGTTGGGTAATACCATGCAGAAAAGCCAACTGATGGTAATCTGCAACTTATGACCCAGAGAGAAACATGGTTCTTATCAAAATGTTGAAATTGAAGAATACTGGCTCCCATAGTCTTTTCTTTTACTCCTAGGTCTGGCTCTTTCCTTGTTGCCTACTCCGTGTGTGGACTTTCAGGAACAACGGCTTTGTCCATTGACAGGAGTGCAAACTTTGAGAACTCAAACTTCATTTGCTAGAGCAGAGTTGAAGTCGAACTCGAGTAACCATGAAAACCCTCCCCCATATCCATGACAACACTTACACTGGCATTTAAAAAAAATCTCCATATAAATATTATTTAAGCTGGCAAAAGAAATTCTTTAAAAAAAAAGCTACACTTTTGTTAATTCATCACTAAATTGGTGAAACGCAATTAGTTAGCAGCCTCAGAACTGGTAATACCAATTGTTTATGCTGTCTTACAATCTTGCAAATCACATCCACTCATAATGATATTAAGATTCTTATACTTCTATCATTAACTGCCTTCAAGGATTTCTCTTGCAATTTTTTTCTACTTATCATCATTCGTACAATAAAACTCTAAGGACAATGTTTGACAAGTTTAATTAATGTTTGGGAATTTGCTACTGCTACTGGGTACAAGGTTGAATACAGTTTGAAGTGTGGAAAGTAGGCAAGAATTGAATCAGCAATGTAAATTGACACAGCACCAAAAACAGCTGGCTAAAATTAAAACAAATTTACTATTCTGCTTCAAAGGAGCAAAGTAGATCCCAAGGCTTAATGAGACAATTAAGAAAAAGTCAATTTCTGTGTTAATTGCTTTTAAAGTAAACATCCATCACAGATAATGTAAAAACTGAAGGTAAAAACTCCTACAGGGAAAACCATTAATATACCACTTCACATTTAAAACTTAAAAGGCAACACCCTTACAACTCATCTTCATTACATTAAGAAATGTTATCCCCCCCCCCCCCACACACACACACACACACACAAACACACAAAGCCTAATGCTACTGGATTAAGTAAGCAAAGCCTGGTCACAAACAAACTTTCAATCATTTTAAGGCACTTTTCATTTAGCAAAAGAGATGATTTGATGTCTGATTTGACTAAATACAAGTACAATTGGCCTGAAGGGTAGGAGGTGCCCACCAAGTACGTACCTGACAGGGAATTAAGCCGCAATCAGCTATGGTTGACATGCCATGGCTGTCGACACTGAAGTTGTCTGGCAACCCGATGATTGCCTGTCACTTGAGACAGAGTGCCGAACATGCCACAATAGAGATCGGAATGATGTGACATTGCTGTTCATCTGATATACTGAGAACTTATGGTGTAGACTGCAATTTATATTAAAATTCGTGAAGAATTTTCAAGTCAGTATTGCTCTATTTAACCTTTTTTATCAGTTATAAGCTTTCTGTTCCATTTTGTTCTGTTTTCTGTGCAAAAGTAACAGAAAATACCGAGACTAGAAACAAATGTCTAACAGAATTTCTCAAAAGCAATACATCTTTTTGTCAAAATAAAGCAGGTAAAAGAATCACTACATTGCATAGAGAACTACATGTCACGGCAATTACCACACCAGACAAAAATGAACAAGGTTTTACTGAAGGTTTCCCATCACAATGAGCCAGATGGGCCTCCGAGGCGAATGTCTACAAGTTGGGTTATTCTTAAAGTACCCCACAAACAAGGGACAGTTTTCATTTGTTACGCGGTGTTTACCATGATCCTGGCATGTAGGAAATGTTGGGCAGTAAGACGGGGAACAAACATTGTACAACATCTCTGGAGGCCAAACAAATAGCAGGATTTGTGCCTAAACCATTCTTCTTCCATCGTCAACAACAGTCTTATTGAAGATTTATACTACACCTTGTCTGGGGCCCTATTAACTCATTTGAAAATGCCAAACTGAATACCTGTCACAGTTTTGTAAAATTCCATTTTTGGGAGCCCCTTTGGAGATGTTGTAGTTTCTCTTTGGCCCTGAGGACTGGATTAAATGTAAATTGTCATTTCCAGTTAAGCTACCTGTAAGTTAGAGCCTCTTTACCTGACACACTCCTCTTCACACATGACAGAAGACTGGAGAACCCAGAGCCTTTAATAGGTGATGAAGAAAAAAAATGCACAAAAGGATTTGATCCAAACCATATCATTTTATAGCTTAAATGACTACAGGAGAGTTGACAAGTGGAATAATACCTGACAATATTTCTGCTTTGGCAAATTGCCCAAATTTTTGTGCCCTCTCTATTTGAAAGAACTAAAAAGGTTGCTTATAATTCTACACTCATACCTGGGTGCAAAATTCTATTCTCTCCGCTGACCTATTTGTGCTCGTTCAACTCGAAACCTTATTTTTTTGCTTTTCAGATCTACCTGAACTCTGGCTATTTGATGCTCTGTTTGCTACCAATTATTTGTAATATAATAATCATCTGGATATTACTGAAACTACAGCATGTGATATCACTGGCATCAGAAATGTGAACCAAATACAAAATAAATCAAAGGACTGCAATCTTTCAATTAAATACCTTTCCTGTGTGTTGGTAGACTCAGTTCAAAAGAACATTAAACTCTGCATACAGGTCACATTACTGAATCAGAATTGTAAAGCAGATTAAAATTCTAAGATGAAAGAATCTGCCAGGGTTGTGTGAAACAAATTTATTCCAGTTACTTTTGGATGGTTGATTTATTGTTAGCAACAAGTTCTTTGGTGGTTGGATTTTAATTTTGGTTACTTTTCCAGGGCAGGAAATACTGCAAGACAAAATAAAGAGAAAACTGATACAAGTCTTTTGGAAATTTCTTCGATAAAATCTCTCCTGAACGTCTGCTGACCGCAAGATCCCACCAAGTCCTGTATCCAGGTTTTTCATGGCCATAGGGAAGAGGCCTGAACTCTAACTAAAGGACACAAGNAATTACTTTTGGATGGTTGATTCATTGTTAGCAACAAGTTCTTTGGTGGTTGGATTTTAATTTTGGTTACTTTTCCAGGGCAGGAAGTACTGCAAGACAAAATAAAAAGAAAACTGATACAAGTCTTTTGGAAATTTCTTCGATAAAATCTCTCCTGAACGTCTGCTGACCGCAAGATCCCACCAAGTCCTGTATCCAGGTTTTTCATGGCCATAGGGAAGA